GCCTTGGCCTGGGCAACCTGGTAGTATTCAGCCCACAAGCCAATCATGGAACGTTTTTCTTTTTTATAAAGATTATTATACCATGATTTGCCTGGCACACAGTCTGCCCTTAGACGTGTGTAAAATAACATATATATATATATATATATATATATATATATATATATCGTAAAGATCATTACAAAAAAACAAGAACACGAGGGAAATAGAAGTTACTAAGCGTCAAAATCTCACTGATCGACAACTAGATAATGTAACACCGCTGATCCCAGGGTTCACGCTTCGTACCAATCGTCTGTTGGTAGCTTATTGCATACAGTTTCATTCCCCTATCAACTCTCTTAGAGAATCATATTATCGCCTCTAACACACCATTGTTTGGAACGGATCCCAGTGTTAGATTCAGACTACATGATTAACGTGGTTCCCGGTGACGCACATGAAACTCGAATCTGACAGGCACTTGAATGTCCTGAAAAATCGATTCCTTAAAGCTGTTCAATAATAACATGTTTCAGATAAGAACTGCTAGTTAGGCTTAACCCCTGACGATGCCGCCCCAAACACCAGTTCGCCCGAACAAGATTAGTCTACGCACTCGAACTGAATAACCAATGCGCTACACTACTCCTGTCATCATAGAGGTGTTATCGGTGATGGAGAGTTTTCCAAACACATTTTCGACGAATAAGCTTGAATAAAGAAATTAGGATTCACTGGTTTAAAAGACCAATTTCTAATGTTCCTTACTCTAGACTCTCTTCTAACTGGCCATTACAAAAGCAACTTTTAGTGACGTTCAGTCAATAGAGGAGCAGAAATACGTACACTTGGTTGGGATGTTTGTTGAATCAAAAGGACTTTTCAAATGGAGACTGTTTACTGAACACAGCAGTCGAATATAACAATTTACACTTGAGTTCCAAACAAGCCTTTCAGCCCTAATGGTGTTTGTGTGGTCTCCCATCCTCAGATGGTCGTTGATAATCACCTGTAATTGTGAACTGATCGATCCATCTGCTCACTGTCAACTGTGAAAGACCAAAACACCAGGTAATATCTTGATGTGGTTTCTTGAAGCCCACATTTCGATTGCACACATGACAACCTTCACGTTTTTGGACATCACGTGCGCTCAAAAGGATGAATAAATGTGTGAGCATCGAACTATAGAAACTACACATCTGTCTGAGCTTCGCAACAAGTTGCTACAATGGCAGATTGTATCACGTAAAAGTGCATCCCGGCATGGCTAGTGATATTCCGAACCGATGGTACGGATCGGTAGCTTTATGAGGTAGGTGAGCAAATGTCAAATCACACTACATTTCCACTCCAAGCTTCAGGGCTTAGATCGCGGGTGTTTATGACTGAATAGAGGGGATAAACCCCTTCTACTACTCGCATTTAGTCGTATTAGCTAGTATGCTGAACTAGGAATTGCATGGCTAGCAGGAACTTCAATAAAAGGGCGTACTTCTATTTAAATGACCGGATTTACTGGTCGCGGATTTATACCCTTGCCTATCAAATTAAAATCGGTGTCGAATAATCAACCGTCTTCCAAATTCCGCATTGCCAACAGAACTGATTTGGTTCCATAGCTTGTTCATTTCTTGGTTGAATGGACAGTTTTAGAGACAGACTTGTGCGTCAAAGCGTTTTCGCTATTGTGCTTTGATTTACTTATAGCCTTTTGAATAATACTTCTTCAATTCTCCTAACTGTATGCTTTTTTAACTTCAAGTGAATCCAACCAATCGCACTTCCACATGAAGTGTGTGGCTCTTCAGCCACCTCACGTCACCCGTTGAATCGAATCTATCAACACTCCGTCCAATTGGAATGAACTGGCTTTTCCATAGACAAACAAAAAGGACTTTCTGAGTGAGTTACTGAGCGAGGTTTTTTGGAAGGGATTTGACTGTTCTTATCCCCCCCCCCCTTCCACCCTGACCTGATCGAGTGAGATTAAGACGAGAATGAACAAACCCGGTGTTAACTGACTTCAATCGAAGCGAACCACGCCAAGATAGATCGATAAATCGGTAACGAAACTCAGACATGAATGTTGAGTGGATTCATTCTAGGCGCTCGATAGCATGAGTGAATTCCATTTAAACCGAAGCTTCCGCTAATAACACCGCTTTTTGAACTAAATGTGATTGCTTACATACTCCTAACAAGATGCTTAACAATGATACCAGGACACAGAGAAGGAACTAACAGTATTTCACTGAATTGCAAGATTAAAAATTAAACTCATTCACTGGTTGAAGTGATCAACACATCAATTTTGGGACAAACTCAAAAACTGGTGTGGCAGATTAAGATACGAATTCAGTCAACTTCCGACTTTATCGTTAATTCTATTAACTTTTCATCTGCGGGATCAACCTGAGGGATCATCAAAGAGGAATAATCGAAATCGGAATACAGTACAGTACACAAACTCAATTCGCAGAGCACAAACGTGCTTCAACACGAGAAAATCGACTGAATCAGCTGAAAACTCAAACCAGGTACCATTATCTAGGAGTTGACAAATGTGTGCTCATCTGCACCCGCCTACCTCATTAGATTACTTACAACAGCCTACTTCCGTGAACGAAGTTCTAGGGAAACAAGAGAAAGCATCACGTCATGTTTGTCTAGTCCGAAACTAAATGAGACCTTCTACATCAATCTGTTGACCTGTGGGTAGCATTTTGCCATACAATGGGTAGACACACAACCTGGAAGACAATGACCTGGTGGTACTGGGGATGTCACTTGTACTGTAATTTCAATATTACTCGTAGATTCACCCATGAAACCGGATTGTCTTTATGAAGGAGTAAATTAGGAAAATTGACAGAGGAAAATAAAACAAATATATACACACACAAGCGAGCGTGCATGCGTAAACACGCACGAACATCTCGTTGTGAATGTTGATGCTGGTGACAAAAATCGAATCTTACCTCTCGAAATTTTACAAGGAACGATTTGAGCGGTTCGACGTAGTTGTCAAACCCCAGGGTGTTCATCGCGCATAGAATGTCTTCACCATTGATAGTCTTTCTCTTCTCCGTCTGACATCGCTCAGCAGCTCTTCAGATAGTGATCATGGGATTTAATTGGTAACTTACTCGCTAGTAATGAAACTGATAAATTCAGAAACACACTCCTGGACGCACTCTTTGGCATCTTTTGCTATCTGAAAGGATAGGTTAGGATAAAGCAGAGAGATAAACTTACTTTTCCGTTGCCGGGAACAGCTCGTCGCATAATTTTAGCCACATTTGCGATGGGCAGAAAGCGGTCCTATGGGAGGAACAAGGACACAAAGAGAATAAATAACGTGATATTTGGAATCATTCTGATCTTATTACAATTTTTTTAGCAAACCAACATGATCAATTTCGATGATATTGACATTGTGATCCCGTGGGATGAACGGCAATTTAAAACGTGTGGGCATCCTTTATTGAAGCATCATAAGTTGTAACGATTCTACGGTTGAGTGCAGTTACCACTTCTATACGGATAAATACGAATTAAAGTCCATCTTACAAATCTGTTGATTGAAGCAGCACAAAAAGTCGTTCCTCTCCATTACACACTAGTGGGGGGACGGCAGAACCGGTGATCTGAAGACATGAAAATCTAAGTTGCGAACCACGACGAAACCTCAAGGGAGGCGACAGTGAAGTTATCTACTGCCAAAGTGGAACCATGGTAATAAGATTTGAACCCTGACCGATACACGCTAATGATACCTGTTTGGAAATTCGTCTTTGCCGACACGATCGAGTCTCTCTTTGTTTTTTTGTTATTCGTACACATTGATACTACTACTCTGATTTTTCTCTCGAGTGAAAACCTCTAGCCTTAACGCGTCCACGACTGCCTAATGACTATTTCGAGTCTTGAGATGAAAGCGTACTCAAATAAATTACTTTTGTGTTCCAACAAATGTAATATTAACGGTTGACCGTTTTGGAACGGACTAGTAATATCCATGGAGCAAGATATTATTTAAGAGTGTTGGCAAGGTTGGTGTGCTTTTTACCGTAACGTTCGAAAAATTAAACCACGTGTCACGTTGCTCAATTCCCTGTGGATGGAAACTGAGGACATGCTACCAATTAACCCGAGAATCAAGCCTAAGACTGAATATTATATTGGTCTCCAGAACACATGACAACCCTGATCTGGGACAAGCAAGCAGTTGGAGTTCGTGGAGCTCTTTTGAAGAACTGCTGTTTGAAGAGCGAAAAATGGGTTTGTGATGATTCGATTTCATCAATATTATGACTGACTTAATGCAACAGTGTACACTACTGTATCTGTGAGAAAGAAGACACAAAAAACGGCAAGACATGGTTCAACGCCATGCGAAGACGACCAGAAGGATGAAGAAAAAAAGTAGTACCGTCATTTAATCATACAGGTTATGGTTTTCAAATGAAAAACTGTTGCAATCATATGTAACAAACGCGAAGAGGTGAAGGACTTTATGCCTGGACTGGTGATCATACACCATCCACCGCTAACAGCAAATATCTTAAATCAAGAAAGTGTGACGATTGAGCGCAATATGGCGTAATCTACCTCAATGACTGATTAGGTCTACAAGAACCCTAAACTGAGCCGAAGTAATACTGAGTGATTTGTGTTCAGAAATTCCGGTTGCACTACGTAGACACAGTTGGTTAAACATAAACAATTTGCAAGTACGTTTTAAACCGAATAACCATAAATATGAAGCAAACAGTAGAATTGGTCTAACTACCATAACATAAACTCGATCATGGAAAGACCAAACATGTCACCCCGATGCCATAAGTGGTTTGGTTATTTTAGTACAAATCGTATTGTGATTAGTGGTAGAACGGGATGAGTCGCCTTAGTCACGAGGATATGAGGCTTTGTCACTGAAATCGAAAGTTGAACTTGGTTTGGGAGAATCGCATGAAGCTACAGGGCTCAAGATAGACCGTTCAGGGATTTGTAGGACGTATCACTTCAAACAGTCCAGTGAGATAAATCTTAATTCAAGGAAGATCATTTGCTACAAACACACGGCCTGATCTCATTGTTACTCAAGCAGTGCTCTCAGTATGAAGAAGCGATGCTGTCCAGATAGCAGTTGCACAAAAATACATTAAACACCTACTTGAAGAAACCGTTTTGCGGATGTAGATAAAGACGGTACGCATCGTCGCGCAGTATGCATTTCCTTCCAGTGAAAAGGGTGTATTACACCGCCGACGAAGATGCCGCAAATCAGAAAGGGCCGATGATACTTTATCCCGCACCGGGAAACCTCAACTACTACTCAGCCAGGTGTTGTGTAAATCCCGGGTTAAACAAAGTATCACTACATAACAAAAGTGCATACAGACTTCTGCCAATCTTGCAGTAAAACATCAAACTTTCAAGGTGCCAAGAACAGGACATATTGAGCCGCCTTTAATATCAAGAGGTTGAGTGCATCTTGCACTGCTCGTACAGGCAAATAGCACAGGCATACTCCTAATCTCCTAAAAGACGCTCAACACTAGAATTCGCTACATCTGTTGAGGCTTTCTGTAGAACACTCAATCATGATGAGGAATAGAGAAACAGGAAAACTCCGTATTACCCCAACGGTGGTAGGGAACGAGAATGCAACTCTTTAATAAACCCTAACCCCCCGAGATCTGATAGTAGTACCCGATACTTTATCTAGCTTCTGGTACAGCATGTTTCGGTAAGCACTTAGTAAGGCATATGGCGATAATATGCTAGCATCTGACCACGGATGTTTCGCATTTTAACCGTAGCACAGAGAGTCCGGAGCAAACTAACGCTTGATCAGTGTTCACGCTGGCTGGCCAGGATACGAAAGTTTTGAATAAAACTCGCAAATTTGTGGCTGACTGCGATACGGACGAAAAGAGTCCATTGATTAACCGAGGAGGGAGAAGCTGGGTAGCATATCATTGGTTTCAATATCTGAAGACCTTACTAGTGAGAAATAAGTGAGATGAGCACAAAACCAAGAGTCTATCTCTATTATAGGGAAGATTGGATACGGAGATTGGAGTCAAAGTTTCTTAAATGCTCATTGTTTAACATCTTTCGGCTTACGCAAACATTCATGTCTTCAGAATATCGGCCAGAGAAGTTTTGCACAGAACGGGTATTTTGTGAAAGAAGCAGTACTTAGATAAGTCTAACATGCAGTCTGATGAAGTGTTAGATCACAGACAAATTACCCTTTGTGAAATTTTCACTCTGCATACACCTGATAGTTTCATTGTACACAGCTACTCTTTGATTGGCATCCAATCAATCAGTGGGGCTTTAAACTTGGAGTTTAGCGCAACATGTGCACATGCATGAGGGAATGCTGACGCCTACAACGATGGAATTCTCGACTCCTCAGTCTACAGTTTCTGCACCCAGCGATAAACAGTACACCGTGCACAAACTCATGTCTCTCCAGCTCACCCCCTTCTCATCTCCACCCTCTCTCAGGTACTTCAGGCGATCGTACTAACAGTAGCGCCTCAAATGGAAACTCTACCACTGTTCTCTCGTTTCCTACCTGGACTACTGTCCAAGGCTCACCAGTTTTTCTTCGTCCTCAATGCCTATTCAAACCAGCCACATTTATTGTTCGTACTCTGGGTATAGGACAACATGCTTGTTTAGCTCGTACGCTCGAGACCCTAGCCATCGATGTGTGTTGTATCCAAAAAGCTCGCATTCAAGGCCCCAGCTCTATTATCCGACTGACGGCCCCATCAAACTCATCTATGAAGTTTCACTTACGCCTCTCTGGGGGACACTGAGGCTGCAGCTTCATGTCTGGCTGGCGTTGGTGTGGCTCTCACTGAGAAAGCTGAAGCCGCTCTTCTAGATTGGACCCCAGTCGACAGCAGGTTGTGCAGTGAGACTCAGGGGTTCGTGCAAAGTAAGTAGCAGTCATCTCGATAGACGAAACTTGTTTGTCGTATCGTCGTGCAGTAGCCCAGATTCAGTCAAGGATGAATTTTACCATAATCTACACGACCTCTTACGTAAAGCGACCCGGGCGACACTCGTAACTTTAGCAGGAGATATGAATGCTAGAATAGGTCGGCTAACTTCGAGTGAGGCGCACCTGGGAGGATCCTTTTGGACTAGATCCGTCGTTCGGAAAACGGGGAACGGCTGTTGGCTCTATGTTCCGACCACCGCTTATTCCTTGCAATACTAACTTTAGACGCTGCAACTGCCGGTGCGCCAGTTGGCGCCCGCCCTCCTAGACTCAGAGACGGAAACAGATCGACCACATCAGCTAGAACCAACCCCACCCGATGACATTAACCAGAACTGGTCGCTTATCAAGAATGCTCTGCATTCTGCTGGCTTAGTTAGTTGTGGTCTGACACGTCGTGCTGCGAAAATTTGGATTTCTGCGGAGTCTTTACGCCTTCTCGACGCTCACCAATCAATCTCGACCAGAAGCGAGCA